AGATAAACCAATCAACATTCCAGCGGAGAGTTCATAATGAGAAGAACTCGTCCAAGGAGGGAGAAGAAGTTCATAATGAGAAGAACTTGTTCAACCTTATCTCAGCATTTCCTGTGGAGAGTTCATAATGAGAAGAACTCATCCAACGAGGGAGAAGAAGTTCATAATGAGAATAACATGTTCAACCTTTACTCAGTATTTCCACTTGAGAGTTCATAATGAGAATAACTCATCCAACGAGGGAGAATAAGTTCATAATGAGAAGAACTTATTCAACCTTGGTTCAAGATTTCCAGTGGAGAGTTCATAATGAGAAAAACTCATCCAACGAGGGAGAAGAATTTCATATTGAGAAGAACTTCTTCAACCTTAGATCATCATTTCCAGTGGAAAAACTAGGATAAAAAGAACCCGTGACTTGAAGAAAACTGAAGATGAAAACTCAACTGAGAAAATGAAGCAATATGGCATCATTTGTAGCAAAGACTCGACGATTTCACATAAGGAGGAGTATTGACATTCCCAGTGAAGAGTTCACAACGTAACAAGAAGAGACCAAGATAAAAAATGGTGCTCTTTTATCTTTGCTTCATTCCCGTTTCACAACAATGAGCAAAGAGAGGCAGCTGTGAGCACCATATTTTAAAGCCCCATACCCCACACCATGCTTCCTACGTGAAGCGCCCCAACTTAGTAGCAGCTCATGTACACCAACACAACGCCTGAGCACCAGCCCGTACTTGTCGGCCACCCACGAGAAGACCCATGTCGAGCTGCCCATGCTAGTGCCCTGCTCCAACTCATCCACTAACAACATTGTTATTTATTTTTTTATGGGTTATATAAGAACCCAAAAATGAGTGTAATAGGGGGGTTGTCGATGATAAAAAAGAGGGGGAGAGGATTCAAGCAGAAGATTATCATCAACAATGGGGCAGTCCAGATTTCACAAAAAAAATCATTAGCAAATTGACAAAAAAATCATCACAAAGGGGGAGATTTCTTGTATTCAGATTAGAGAGAGAACCCAAAGCAACAATTGTAATAGAATCTTTTTAAGATCAATACAAAGAAATTTTCCATATTTCTCTTTTTCTTTCGTTCGAAATAAAACCATAGTACTCATTAAGGTATATTTCTTCTCGTTTCATTTTTCAGTGATTTATGTGTGTTTACAGTATGAATACGAGTAAGTAAAAAAGAGAAAGGAGATGGAAGTTTACCTTAGGTGTTCAAGCACCTTGCTGGAAATTTCTTTCGTCGCTTGGGTCAGTTTGGCTCCGTCGAGGTCGAGTTTTTCTTCGGTTTGGTTTTGAGAGTAGCCTTATGAGAGAATTTAGGGGTTGATGGTGGCCGTTGTTTGGGCCTCTGGTTTCGTTGAACAAAGAAGACAGGGGAAGAAGGAAGCAAAGCGGCGCTGATGATTTTTAGCCATAAGTTGTGTTATGATCTTAGGTCAAATTTAGCTTAATTTGGGCTTTAATATATTTAGGTAAAACGACAGTGTTTAGCCTTAGGAGAATATGCTTGTGGTGAGTGGAATAATTATGTGTGAAATCCATTATCTTTTGACACGTTTTGTTTTGGCCCTTAAATCCGTTTTTCTTACTTTCTTTAACTTGGTATTCATATTTTAAGTGTTTTTATTTTTTTAGTCTTGAGTTTATGATGTTTTTATTTTATGACAGCTCTTATATTTGGCCAATAACTTATGCACATTTTGGCATTTTGATCACTATTTTATTTCCAAGTTTGCATGTTAAATTTACATTTATTTAGGTTTGGTCATTATTCAAAGGTTACCTTAAATTAATCCCTATATTATGTTGCTAATTATAATTTTAATCCTCTGAATTATTTGTTACCATTTTGTTTTTATGCATTTTGGTTATTTATTTTAGGTTTTTAGTTTTAGATCATTATTTTACATTCCTTTTAATTTTATTTTAGAGCCTCCATTTTACTTAGATTTCAAATTAGTCTCTTAATTTAGGGAATAATTCAAAATGGCTCTCGCGTAAACGCTCGAGTGACCATCTTGGTTATCCGATTGATTAATTAATTAAAATCAAATAGAATTAATATTAGAGCTTACGTGTTTTTAGATTTAAGCCCCTAGCTTCTCTAATTTTCATAATTTGTCCCCGTAGGTTAGAAAAAGCCTTATGTACATTAGATTAATTATGATTAAATAAAATTTTGCTTGATTACATTGTTTTTTAAAACTTAAGGCACTGTTCACTTATTAAGGAGTTAATAGTATATCCTCCGCGATCGTGCTCAAGAGGTGACTACTGGTAATTCCCTAGATAAGCCGACATCCTTTTCAAAACCACATCATATTTTTTAAAAAAACGAGGCAATGTTCGATTATTAGACACAATAGTTGATCTCCCGCATTTACGCTCGGGGGCAAATGCTATCGGTCTCAATAAACGAATATTCTTTTCAACTTTGCATCCGTAATGATTTTCAAATTAAATAAAGATTGAACTCAAAATTTCTAATTTTAAATAAAGGGTAATCAACTAGGTACTAATTTTTGGGCGCTTGTGGGGGTGCTAATCCTTCCCCACGCGTAACTGACTCCCGAACCTGATTTCTGGATTTTCACAGACCCCAAAACTCAGGTATTTTATTAAAATAAAATGTTTTATTAAAATCACTCGGTTTTTACGGTGTTCCAATCTCACCTTAAATAATTGGTGGCGACTCCTCACATTTCAAAACGATTTTCAAAGAGAGAATCCCCGAATCGGTATCGATCTTTCCCCGCCCGGACGAAAAACGGTGTCGACAACTTACTTCTCAACTTGCTTGTCAGTAGCTTATTTTAAAATCTTCTTCTCTACATTCCAGGGATGCATGGGACATGGCTGCTGAAATTTGCCTTTCACAGCTTCCGTAGTTGGTCACTGATCCTAATGCAGATTTCCAGGTGTGTGTTTCTTCAAAAACCATTGGTAATTGTCGCAACCGTCTTTCGGTTGTGCCCCGGAATTGGGCTTCGACGTGAAAAATGGATTGGGAGTCGCCACCGATCATTTACTTTACGAAAAGTGGGTTGATCGGATACCTTATTTCTTACCTGATCTGCGTCTTACCAGTGATATGTCGGATCCGGGAGTCGGTTACGGTCAAGGAAGGATTAGCACCCTTGAACCGCCCTTTCGGTACTATGTAATTTTCAGTTGTCTATAATTAAGAAAGTTGAAAGTTTAAATTGAAAGGTAAAATAACGATCCAAAACTACATTTGATTGATTGAAAATGTACCCTTAAGAAAGTAAGAAAGCCATGTTAGATAAAATGGTAAGAAATTAATTAATTAAATTAAAATGAAAAGAAAACAAATTAAGTAAAATGATAAAATGAAGAAAGCAAAGATAAAATAGTAAGTAAAAAAACAAATAATAAAATATATATAAAAAAGAAAAAGAAAATAAATAAAACAAATAAACAAATAATAATAACAAAGTACGAATAATATATATATATATATAATAAATAAAAAAGTAAATATATATAAATTAATAAATTAAATGACGAAAAGAACATATACACATATAATGGTAAAAAAAGACCAAATAAAGATAATTACAATATATATATATATAGTAACAATACTAATAATGATAATAAGTAGTTAAAAAAGACAATTACACCGAAAAGGGAAGAAAAGAAAGTAAGATTTGGTGAAGTATAATTGACAGGAAGAAAAAATGATGAGGGGTGGGGACAAAGTAGGTAGATATAAATAACTTGTGTAGAATATATATATATATATATATATATATATATATATATATAGTAAAATGTATATATAAAAACAATAATATCAATAAAAAAGAAAATAAATATATATAATAAAAAAATATAGAAAATTAATAGAAAAATATATGTATAATATTATAAAATATAGCACTTAAAAAAAAACCAAATATATATTAATAATAGGTATAAAAACTAAAATATTTAAAAAGAGCATACGCATATATATATATATATATAACAAAATAAATAATATAAAAATAATACAAGTAATAATACAAGAATAATAAAAGAATGAGAAAGTAAAAAAATATAATAATAATAATATAAAAAATATACATATATAATATAAATAAGTAGAATAAAAGGAAAATATAATAGTAAAAATAATAATAAATATAATAGTAATAATAAAAATGCAAATAAAATATATATATATATATGGGTAATAACGTATATAAATAGAGAAATTAAAAAAGTGATAAATTAAAAATAAAATTAGCAAGTATGTATATATATATATATAAAAAAAACCAATTAAGGGATTAAAATGAAAGGAATGTAAATTAAGTGGGTAAATGTCAAAGAACATTGAAGATTAAAACCGGCAAAAATAAAAAAAAAATTCATTTTTTGATAGATTTTCGTACACTCATTCCAAAAATGTAATTTGTTTTTGCGAAATAGCCTCTAGAGAGCGTAGATCTGAAATCAAAGTTTCGAAAAAACTCTCTCTGAGTCATCGGCTAAAACATTTGTCTTTGGGGTTCTCCAAAAAAAACACGATTAACAACGCATGAAAGTGAAGAGTAAAGAGAAACAAACGAAAGATAAAAAAAGCTTTCATCTTTATTACTTCGAATCGTTTACAATAGCTTTGCCTTTGTATTTTCCGTGTTTTCCTCTGTATTTTGTCTGTAAATCATGTCTTACAATAGTGAGTTACAATGGCTATTTATAGTGCTTGTGTATCCTATCTTTAGGAGTTTAAATCATAGTAGAATTCTATCCTATTTTTAGGAGTTTGAATCCTAGCAAAATTTTATCCTATTTTTAGGAGTTTGAATCCTAGTAGGACGAAAAAGTGTGTTGACAGTAATATTATTTTATTTCCCTGAATTTGATTAATGTGTACTGGAACCTGCAAGAATTGAGTAGCAAAGTGAGGAGGTGCTTATTTTCTGTTCCTTGTGTTCCCTCATATCTGGGTGTACTTTTGTTTTGTTTTAACCAAGTTCATTTTTCACTGAACAGCTGACAACCTTTGAGGTATGGCTTGACCATGGATCTGAGCATAAAAGCCACCAGAGCAATTGCCTATTGTGCTTCAGGTGCTGTAATATTTCCTTGTCATTTAGTTGTGAGGGTCACTATTCAATTGCCCTTGTTGATGGTGATTTTAAATTTTGTTGGATTATGTTTAACAATTTCACTCTATATTGAGTCCTCAGCCACCTAAGATATTTTTTGTGGTAAGGTGGGGAAACAATCCTTCAGAATCACAGCTGCCTAACGCTGCAGTAGCTAACAACTTCATTTTTGGACTGAAATCCCATTTATTATGAATTTGAGCTTCATTTGTCCATATGAAGAGTAGTCTATATGGAAGTACATCCATTATAGGTGTGCTACTATTCAGGGCCACTGACAGTGACATGCGAACAATTCATATTCATTATGTTTAATTATACATAAAATTTCAATGTAATATCTGACCAGCAAAACCTGAAGCTCAACCTTTGATATTTCAGGTTTTGCTTAGTCAATGCCATCAATTTCGTGCTCTAGATCTTCTTGGAAGATTCCTTGATATGGGACCCTGGGCTGTAGATCTGGTAGTTCTTTATGGCTGTACACTTCACTATTTGCATTTTGTTGTGTTTCATGCTATTGTTTACTTGCAGAGTGGATTTTGTTTTTAGGCCCTTTCTGTTGGAATATTTCCCTATGTTCTGAAGCTGTTGCAAACAACCACTCCAGAACTGCGGCAAATCCTCGTCTTCATTTGGACAAAGATTTTGGCACTTGATAAGGTGTGTTAACTGACGCTTCATAGTATTGAGATGGGTATTTGTTTGCATATGTCAATATAGCTCTTTATGAATACTATATCGTGATAACACGCATAGCTTGCCCTAGCTTGCCTTTTAGTCTGGCATTCAAGGAGTTGTTAAGTGCTCTTCTCTATTTGGTTGAAGCTTCTATATAGCTGGTCTACTTGTGATCAAAATTGTCATTGTAGCATCAACATTCTATGTTTTCACTTCTTCTTAGTCGTGAATAAAATATGTATGGACAGTTTGCTGTTTTTGTTTATTGACACTTGGGAATCGGTTCTGGTTCTCTTATTATATTTGATGCCTTATTGTGGAACTATAATATTTCTTTTACCTAATACAATGGTAATCTTGAAACTCTATCATCTTTGTCTGCAGTCCTGTCAGGTTGATCTGGTAAAGGATGGTGGTCATGTCTATTTCATTAGTTTTCTTAATAGTGTGGAAGCATACCCTGAGCAGCGTGCAATGTCTGTGTTTGTTCTGGCTGTCATTGTGGATGGTCATAGACGTGGCCAGGAAGCTTGTATTAAAACAGGGTTAATCCAGGTGTGCTTGAAGCATCTTCATGCTTTCATGCTAAATGAGGAACAAACTGAACCCTTATTGCTTCAGTGGCTTTGCCTTTGTCTTGGAAAGCTGTGGGAGGATTTTGCTGAGGCTCAGGTGATAGGTCTGTAGGCAGATGTGCCTGCAACATGTGCTCCTCTACTCTCTGAGCCTCAACCTGAGGTATATTTTCTCCCTTATTTTAGATGTACCTTATAAATGGATTGTTTCTAGTTTTCTGGTTACAGATATTTGTAATTATATATGCCTGCTTAATTTCAGGTTAGGGCTTCTGCAGTTTATGCATTGGCTACCTTGCTTGATTTGGGTTTGACTCTAGAGATGGTATTGGAGGGGATGAAGAATGTGATGATGTTGAAAAGAATAGAGCTGAGAATATTATAATTAAAAGCCTTCTGAATGTTGGTTCTGATGGAAGCCCACTTGTCCGAGCAGAAGTTGCTGTAGGTATCTGGTGGTTATCTCATTCATGTTTTGTGTTAGGATTGATAATTTTCTTAAGAGCTTTTTCTTCCCAATTATTAACATTAAAATGAATGAATATGACAGAAACTTGACACATTGAAACACCTTGAAAAGTTTCTATTTTGTAATTGGCTGATGATTACCTGTAATATATTCCAAATTAGGTTGGTGTGAGCTTCCTATAATTTTTAAGATACATGTTTCTGTACATAAAACTAAAAGATTATGTTCTATGTTGTGATGCAAAACATTAGAGCAACTTGCAATTATGATTCTAGAATACCTTTTTCTATGTATATTTCTCTCAGCCTCTGAAACCATCATTAGAACAAACACGATTCTGTCTTCGAATTGCTTTCTTTCCTGATTGGGGGTTGAATTGGTGTTCTACAGATTCACTATGTCCCTGAATTATGTTGGTGGATGAATGTTCATGCTTTGTTTGTCTTTGGCAGCTTTGGCACACTTTGCCTGTGGACATAAGCAGCACCTCAAATCATTTGCTGCTGCATACTGGAAATCTCAGCCTAATTCCCGGTTAAATTCATTGCCTTTCATGGCTAATATAAAGGGCCCAGTAAGTGGAAATATAGTTTCATCCCAGATAGGTCCTTTAACTTCCATAGTTCGGGACGGAAGGGTATCCACCAGCAGTCCTCTTACTACTGCTGGAATCATGCATGGGTCTCCATTGTCTGATGATTCATCTCATCAGTCTGATTCTGAAATATTGAATGATTGTGTTAGTAATGGGGAAGTTCATAATTTAAGGCCAAAATCTTTGGACAATGCAATGTACTCACAGTGTGTACTGGCTATGTGTGCTTTAGCTAAGGACCCATCTCCATGTGTATCAAGTCTAGGGTGGCGGGTACTTTCCATTATTGGAATTGAACAAGAACAAAATCTATGAAGCCTTCTGGTAACAGTGCCTTCCCTGGTGATCCCACCACTTCCTCATCAACTCTTCGTTCTTCTTCATGGTTGGACATTAGTGGAGGTAACTCATTTATTCTCTGTTAGTTCCTTAACACACATCCTTATTCTCACATTTTCTTATACCTGGTATTTGCTTTCTGTGATGCTTTCTTTTATACTAGTTAGACGTTAAAATTACGAGATTTAATCTGGAGATGATATTGGCAGGTCATCTACCTTTAACATTTAGAACACCTCCTGTTAGCCCTCCTCGGCAAAATTACCTTGCAGGAATTCGTAGAGTTTGCTCTTTAGACTTCAGGCCTCTCCTGATGAATTCCCCCGACTCAGGATTGGCTGACCCACTTCTAGGTTCTGTTTCTGGATCAGAGCGCAGTTTACTTCCTGAATCAACTATATATAATTTTAGTTGCGGCCACTTCTCCAAGCCTCTGCTTACTGCATCAGATGAAAGTGAAGAACTATTGACCAAAAGAGAGGAGCAGGAAAGATTTGCACTGGAGCATATTGCTAAATGCCAGCACTCTTGTATTCCTTTTGACTCTTTTTTTTTTGGTTCTTTTTATCCCATTCTTATGCCAATTTTAACTATGGAACTAATAGGTTTCTCATTTTTCCTTTGATAGCTGTTAGCAAACTTAACAATAATAGTCAAATTGCTAGCTGGGATACAAGATTTGAGACAGGTACTAGAACAGCCTTGCTGCAACCTCTCTCCTATTGTAATTGCAGCAGATGAGAATGAACGGATAAGGTATGTGATTTATGCTTTTATGGATTCCTAAAGCAAGCTAATTTCAATGTTACATGATCTTAGTTAACATGCTATAGCGTGTGGAATGGTTTTTAAACATTTTAAGCCTGTGGGCACAAGTTATAGTTCTGTGCATTGATAATTTGCTTGCATATGCCTGTTATATAAATCCGAGAGCCTCTTGCTCAAGTACTTCTACATTGTAAGAACAATTTTTTTTTATCCCATGAGAATCTGATCAACTTTTCTCTTCCATTCTGAAGCAAAGTTGATGGCCTAAGATTTTGGCATTTATCCTTGTATTAAGTAGATATGATACTTTGTTTCGTTTTGGAAGAATCATTTTGAGGTAGTGATTCTTAAATGAGTTGAGTATAATTCTTTTCTGCATGAAAGGTTATATATAGTAAATTGCTTTCTACAAATAGCTTTTGTTTTATTACTAAAAAAGGGACAGTGCTTCTGAAATGAGTTGAGTGAGTTTGTAGCTGCTTGTTATATGCTGTTTTTGTTGACACTTTCACAATTTATTTCTGTAAATCATGCTCCCATATTAATTGTTGGGCTTTCCTTTCCAGGGTATGGGATTGTGAGGAGGCCACTCTCCTCAATGGTTTTGACAATCATGATTTTCCAGAAAGGGAATTTCTAAACTGTCTTTGGAATGAGCTTGATGACAGCTTGTTGCTTCAAGTAATATTCTTTCCCCCTTTTTTGTCCCATATTTTTTGTGGTTTTTTTTTAATAATAATGGTAATGATCCATGGCTGATCTCATGCAGCCGATGGAAATATCCGAGTTTGGAAAGATTATACACTGAGGGGGAACAGAAACTCGTTACTGCGTTTTCTTCTATCCAAGGTCACAAATCTGGTGTGCGGAGTTTGAATGCAGTTTTGGACTGGCAGCAGCAGTCTGGGTATCTTGTATGTACTTCTTTAGAAGGTTTATCTCTTGCACATTCTCGTTTTGTACAGTTGGATGCCTAATATAGTGTTCTTCGTTGCTCTGATGTCACACGACTAGTATTCATCTGGGGAGATATCATCCATCATGCTTTGGGATCTGGATAATGAGCAACTTGTTAAGCCAATACCGTCAGCCTCGGATTGCAGTGTCTTGGCACTGATGAGTCTTCAATCTCTTATGCATTGCGGTAGTATATTGTTAAACGACTGGATTGAGTATGCTTGTATACACGTCAGCGGCAACAGGTACCTTTTCAAAGTAGTAATCTTATAAAGTTATGATGTACAAGTTTTAAAAATTTACTGCATATCACTATTGAGTTGGCCAATAAGAGGCATCTGTAGTTGAAAACGTGCTATGTTGGAACAGTCAGTGGCGAGTGATTTTTCTCTCGTTTTCGTTGATGATTTAGCTCTTTTGTTTTGTCTTGTAATCAGATTTGTTTTGACCATTCATAATATAGTTTTTGTCATTGGCCCCTTCCTCCCCTATTGGTAGTTCATCTCGTGTTGAATATTTTGTTTTTCACACTAACAGGATTCTTCTTAAGTTCATGCTGGTCAATTTGCAGCTGGTTTTGTGGATGGTTCTGTCAGACTATATGACATCCGGACACCCGTCATGTAAGCACTCCGATGAATAAGATTGATAAAACTTTAACATACGGATGAAATTCTTTGATTTGTCATTCCTGAAAATTTCATTAATCGACCCCGTGCCGTTTTCCAGAAGAAAATACTTTCACGTCATCGGTATTTATTTATCTATCTGATCCATTAATATTCTTTTAATGTTTAGGCTGGTTTGCACAACTAGGCCGCACACTCAGCAAAGTAGAAAGAGTCGTCGGTATTGGCTTTCAACCTGGACTTGATCAAGGAAAGGTAAGCAACTCATAGGTCTTATCACTAGTAAAAATAGGTGTTTCGATTCAATGTTACAGTAGTAATCATCCTTGTTCCTCCTTGAACGTCTAGTTCAAGGTTTTGATCAAGGAAATATAGAAAATTAACAAACTTACACTTGTTATTTGTCAGATTGTTAGTGCATCCCAGGCCGGTGATATTCAGTTCCTCGATATTAGAAATCAGAGAGATGCATACCTTACAATAGTTGCTCACCGAGGATCGCTTACAGCTTTGGATGTTCACAGACATGCCCCGATAATTGCCAGTGGGTTGGCAAAACAGCTAATCAAAGTCTTCAGTCTGGAAGGCAAGCCACTTGGCACCATTCAGAAGCAACATACATTCATGGCGCAGAAGATTGGTTCTGTGAGCTGCCTTACCTTCCATCCCTACCAAGTCTTACTCGCTGCCAGTGCGTCCGATACCTGTGTATCTATCTATGCTGATGACAACTCTCATACAAAGATGATATTTGATTGTTTGGGGAAGTGGGAGATCCAAGTTAATGGTTGCAAAAGAAATATTCAAGTCCAGATCAGCATTTGGGAATATGCTGCTGCCAGATTTGCAATTCCACTGTGGATGTATATTCATTCTGAATGTTATATAGAGAGAGAGGTGGATGCATTGTAAATATTTTCATTTATTCCATCGGTTTCAATGTGTTAATAAATTCAAGTACTGCAAGAACATTAGTTATGGAAAGCCCTAAGTTCGTCCCTTTAAAGCTAAAACCTCATAGAATGTTTGCTTTCAAATTCTGCTATAACACAGCTTATCCAATTATATGTGGTTCTAAGTTTCTAAAAATATACTTGAGATCACTAGATTATTAATTCAGTTATAAATTTGTAACTATATTTCATTAATCATAAAGGGCGTTGTTAAAACAAAAAGAAGATTAAATATTATTACTTGTGGATTGTTCATTAAATGTTACTTCAAATCAATACCAAAATCAATAGAATACATGAATTTAAAAACAAATTATCATTATATCAATCAATTCCCGGTAGACGTTTGTTTCACTTTTAATAACAAAATAACTTATTTGTAATAATATTTAAATTGGATAATTAAATTATTTTTTTTTGAAAAGAGATTTCTTTTGTAGCCAAACAATATTAGTGATATGAAATGTAATTTACCCAATAATTTATGAGTCACAAATGGACTTGGTTAGAATCAGAACCAAGGGACGCTGATCATTAAAATTGAAGATGAAAGTGGCAGGAGGCTATTAACATCTTTAAGGCACCAAACCAGACAAACCATACTAATATAACAACAATAATATTGAATCACAAATCAATTCTAAAACACAAAATCCAAAGGCTCATCAATCTGAAAAAGACAAACCCGCGTCTTCGATACGAATTTACACCAGAGGTTTAACATGGACATATATCCTACGCATACAGCTCGACCCCCTAATACAATTTCCTTACTTCCTCCTACCAGCCATGCTTTGTGTGTTATTACCTGACAGGTTAGCAGATGTACTACTGCTTGTTGTCATCTTATGCCTACCATCAAGCACATTCAAGTCTTCAAACAATCGGTATGATGGGATAAAGGGCTTTTGTCCCATAGCAGGAGGGGCGTTCCTCGGACCGGTACTCGTCCAAGCATCTCCGTTCATTGGTGCTCCTCCGTTTGTTTCTCTTGCAGGGAATGAACTATTATGTTGCGAGGGTCTGGTTGCCGTGGGAGAATTTGATGTGATGCTATTTGCTCGGGGAGCAGAGAACATGGTTGCAGAAGAATGGTGATTTTGGCCACTGAAATAACCAGGAGTAGCAGCCCATGGTGGAGGAGGATACCCATACTGAGGCTGAAAATATGGTTGATATTGAGGTTGTCCATATGACTGATTTTGAGTTGGGGGTTGTGCCTGGGGTTGACGATGAGTTTGCTGTTGTGCTTGGAGCGGAGACTGCCTTTGGGATGGGGATTGTGGCTGGAATTGATGATGGGGCTGTGTTTCAAACTGAGGTCGGGCCTGCAATGGTGAATTCAACTGATTTTGAGTTTGAATTTGATGTCTTGCTTGGAACTGGGTCTGTGATTGGGATTGTGGGTCCATTGGAGGTGATGCTTGTACGTTCTGCTGGGAATGGTATTGAGGCTGGGATGGTTTCTGAGGTGGTGTCTGAGGTTGAGCCCATGGAACAACATAACTATTGTATGCCGCTAGTCCCTGACTTCCAGTGTAGGTTTGGGAAGCATAAGGATATCCCTGGCTGTTAGGAGTACCTTGGTGCATATTTTGGTGAGATGAAGATGGCGTTGGAGGGGTATGGGGAGTGGAAGCCGATGTCGTTGACAGGGTGAGGCTTAAAAGATCAATCAAGTCCTGGTCTTTTGAAGTCCTAACTGGTGCAGGTGGATCTGGTAAAGCTAAAGCATTGCTCGGAATAGTGGTTGAGGCAGTCGACACAGATGAAGTTTCCGCAGTGGCATTGCTGATTGGCACAATGGCCCTACTTGTTCCAGCAGATGCACTCTGAGAAGACGGGAACTGTGCTCTGGAATGCCTGCACTCAGAATAAGCGAACCAGTCAAGAACCGGACTAAATTTAACATATTTATGAGGTCTGATTATTTATAAGCAATTGCCGGCATTCTACAAAAGCCACAAATAGTTAACAAGGATTGAGTTAGGGTCCGATATACAATAAATTATATAAAACAAGGATGTTGTTAATGCCGCGATTCTTTCTAGGAAGATTTTGCCTTAACTACAAGCTGTATTCAACCGCACCATGCAAAATAAATTAGGAGTTGTCGTATGGAACCTTCTAGCTAGCAGTGCAAAATCGTCTTCCTCTTCTTCCTCTTCATCGATCTGGCTTCTTGTCACAGTAGCAACGGGTCCAGGTGGACTGATATTAGGCGGACTGATATTAGGTGGACTGATATTAGATGCCGGGCTCTTCACTTCATTTGATTTGTTGGAGCTACTTGCTTCAGTAGGCTTGGAACTTGCTCCAGCAGCCTCAACTGGCAAGGGGGAACCTACAGAGATGGCATCATGTTTCGCAAGCAAGCTTTGCAGACCATCATTCAATTCAAGGCCTCGAGATAAAAGTTCCTCATCCCTATCACATAGACAATAACGAACTTTAGATATACACAATAGGCCATGTACAAAAGAAAGAAATTCCAGTTTTAAGAAATCGGCACATAAACGCAGACAAATAACAAAAGCAAACAGGTCGAATGCCAAAGGTAAGAAAAAGGACCATGAATATTATGATGATTTATAAGAGAACAGGATCCGAACTTGTCAGCATTAATGCCATTTAAAAAATTAAATTTGGAGACGACTAACCCAGTAGTTGTCAGCATTTGCATCAGCTTTTTTTGGTTGGATCGACATCGAGTGACAAGATCAACTATCACTTCATCTTTCACTGCCTGCCAATACAATAAAAAACAAATGCAGTAATATAAGATTCTGCTGTCAATTAAATTAAAGAAAAAGGTTTTATTATTGTTGTTCATACCGCACTATCACTGGGGTTCACAGCTTGCAGCATGTCAGTTAAGAGCTCCATAACATCCCTCATAGAGTCTAAGCTAGACAAACTAAGATTATCAAGGAAAATTTCAGCCCGGAAAAGGAGACAAAAACACCAGTAGGTGAACACAAACACTTTATAAACAGAACTTGAAAAATGATTTTAGACCTTAAACTTTCAATATCTGTAGCCATTGTTTCGTCAAGCCTTCTAGAAGAATTGTTTGGCATTCCATAACCAGGATTCATGGTTGGATGTGTAGCAGGTGGTGTAAAGATGGGAGCTGCATTTGATGAATGCTTGGGAAATTCTACTCCCGAACGCTATCATTTATACAGATACAAAATTTTAGAATCACTAGAGTAGTTGATCTTAGAAGTGGACATCCTCAGATATCATATCCTTGATGCCAGTCTGCTGTGAAATGCAACTACTTAAGATGCTATCCTTACCCTTAGCTCATCATATGCCCAGTAGTACTGAGGATGTTTACCCCCCGGACCACCAAATGCCTCTTGCCAAGAGTCCAACAGTGTCAAAATTTTATCCCTCACTAGCATATCCGCCTGCAGAATTCAGGGAGCCAGGTTCATTAAAACCGACAAATACACTTGAGGTTTTAAATAGAAAGAGATGACAGATGAAGCAAAAATAATACGAGAACATGATTGAAACAGATAGAAATCAGATGCTGTTAAAATAATATGAGAACATGGATAGAAAGGAAACACTACATTTCAGCAGAACCAATGACTTGGTAAAAGAAATCTCCTCAAAAGAAAAATACCAGACAACCAGTAACATTAACATTCATGACTAGCTCAACGATTTTCAGCATCCATCACTTGTTCGTTAGCACCAGTCATCATGTCTTTCTAGAACACAACTGGTGTCCTCCCACCTAACAGCGACCCAAACTTAAATTTCAATATGCATGTATGGCCACTAGTGCGTAGTATAACTAACATCCATCATAATTGAAGGGATTTATGGCACTGCTTTCATTTTCCACCAACATATTCATACCACATACAAATCATTGCACAACTATATTCACAGTGCTCCTTGCTTTTTATCATAGCTTTTGCTCCACTGCTATCAATGATCCTCGAAACACAATAGCTCTAAGCCAGTATAATGCATTCTAAAGGAAGTTACCTTCTTCCTCACAATTTTGACCATCTCCCCCAATACATTCCTCTCGGCAATCTGAAAATGGACGTAATCACCACAATTCTTCACCATTGTTTCCAGAAGCTACAAACGGAAAACGGCACATGGTTAATTCAAAAATACATCTACACACGAGATATCCACGCAACGGAGAAAGGAACTCAAAAAATTATTCTCTGAAAAAAATTACCGTCAAGGCTAGTAATTGAACTTTAGAAGTCTTGTGCTGCAACCTTCTCTTCACAGCTTTTACAACATCCTTTGCTGACCTGACAGGTTCACATCCAAAGCAAAATTTTACATTAATTTCCTATCAGTAAAAGAAAAACACTGAAAAATAAATAGAACAAGTACTCTAAATCCGAACAATAGGTGATTTTAACAAAGACATCAAAGAGAAATTATACCATTTTTTTCTTCAATTATCTTCATATAATTCAACCTAAACCCCAAAATATATTCAATAAATTCCATCCACAAAAAGTAAGAAAATCAAAATCCATAATCCAATCATATCAAGTACTCAAGCCAAAGGAAAACAAGAACAACTGTGGAAACTAATTAACAAATTATTAAAACATAAAAAACATACACGTAAAACTCAAAAAATTAAAGCTAATAAAAGAAAGAAAATCAAAGACAACTTCTTTAAAAAAAACAGAAAAGAAAAGAAAAAATGAATAAAGATTAAAGCTTTTTACCAATGATTAGAATTCACAGAATCACAAATATCGATGTTCATAGTCCAATCAGGACCGATTAGAAGATCGCTCGTTGCCTTGTCTACAGCTACCGCGGCTGATGATGATGAAGCTGATGACATCATCATCATGTTTCCTTTTCTCTTCGCTTTCCCTTTTTCCGTTCACAACAGCTTCTGCTTGTTTCCCGAGAAAATTCCACGCAATGAACGAAGACGAACAACGACAAAGACAACCTCAAGCTTTCCGCTTCAAAAACCTCGCCACCTTTACCTTACCTTGTGTTTGGAATCTAAGGGGGGGGAACCAAACCCCTAAAGAAAATTATAAAAGGGAAACTCTTTCTGTGCTTTCCTTTTTATAAAGATTAAACCAACTTTTAAGCAAGAGAATTCATTTTTCTACGGGAAATTCGTTCCTTTTTTTTTGTGGGGGTGGGGGAGAGAATTTCAATATAAGGCGGTCGGCTCGAAATTATTTTATGTCAACGATTACATTGAAAAATATTTATTGAAAAGGGCGAAATAATCCCACTCTTATCTTCAAGTTATTGCAAGTACCATTTTACCCTTTTATCTCAAAGATTCTATTTTTCTATCTTAAATAAAATGTGGCCCAAATTAGGAGTAATTTGTTGTCAAAAATTAATTTAGAGGGTATTTCATAATTTTGAAGTTTTCTATGGAAATTGTTCTTAAGTTAGTGTTGGGGACAACCTACTATCTTACATCCTCCTTATCACATTACATATGGGAACAAGGGACATCCATTTTTATTGTAAAAAATAAGTCTTTTTTAACATCATAACATAAAAAGGACTTGTGATTGAGTCCCACCTAAAATAATTTATTTTATTTGTTTTTATAATTTAACTCTTGTAACTAAATTTAAATGAATCATAACATATGTATTTGAAATAAACATAAAAAAATAAAATAAAACCTAAAAATTCTAATTGATAGACTAAAGATCTTTTTTCGTGTTTTATTCAAGATAGACATAAAAAAAATTGTGTTAATCGAGCATTTATGTTGCTTTGTAGGTTCACGATTGAAATTTTATTTTGCATACGATTTAAGATCTTTAGTCTATCTATTTTGGTAATATTTTTATATAATTGAGGGAATCAATGAAAAAGAAAAAACATAAAAAGTTTTCAATCGATATGCATCAATGGTTTTATTCAAAATAAATATAAATATTTTTGGTATTATTCGAGTACTTATATTATTTTATAAATTTACATTTAAACTTTTTTTTCTTTTTTTGGTACACTAAAGTTTAAGTTAAGGGTGACTCCCCAATCTAGGGTATGTAAAATTTAAAATGATAAATATAATTTAATTAAATAAAAGAATCTATCAACTTACATTTTTTTATCAATGAAAGCAAAATGGATTAAACTTGTGAGTTGCTTAAAAAAAGCATTTCAATTTCATGAGTCATGCCAAGTTCTTTGGTTTCTCTCGAACTCATGGTGAAGGACAAGAAGGTAATAGCAACAACTTTATTTAAATTATTTAAAAAAAAAGCTTATTCAGCATTTAACTATTTATTTAGTATAATTTTGGAAAGTAATGTGAGATGGGACAAAAGTTTCATAGAAATTTACTGATAATAACAATTATTGTCGGTATGTGCTCATCATACGATACCCATTATGCTATTTGCCTGTCATTTTCCCCTAAACTCAGAAATTCCAATTCCCCCTTACATTTATTGCCTTTTAATTATATTATTTTATTTTCTTTAAACGATAGTTTTAATCATTAAAATTCTAAAAATTACAAAATAATTAAACCGATATTAAGTAATATTAAGTTTATTAAACTCGTATACGTACCATAACATCAATATATTTTATAATAATTTTAAAAAAATTAGTATAATCATCAACTAGTCTAAATTTGATATTGCAGAGGCAATACAACATTCTCGATTCAATTTGCTTCATTCATAAATTTAATTCGAACTCATAATCTTACTAAGGGATCTAGTGTCTCATCTTGTTATATTGATTGTAACAATTTAGTAATTTTAATAATTATTAAAATATTTAAAATTCAATAATCTAACACATCGTTTGAGTATAATTAAGTGTACTTATTATTTACCCTTAATTTTAATGGAAAATAAATGATTGTGACATTGAATTTTGTATTTGTTGGAGGCGTAAATCTTTGACCCAAGCAACTAATATTTTTTATTAAATACACTAATAATCTTTTTAATTAATTTTGACTGGTCGTCATCCTACTTGGTCTATACCCAATTAGGTATTTATTTTTCTCTATTAACATTTTTTAAATAAAACCCAAATATAAATCGAACTAAAAAATCCCCCATTATATATGACATATTGAATTTGCTATAATATAGAAGATATTTTTTATTAATTTATTTCATTAAATATATTTTTTAAATATTATCCATAATACCTAATCATCAACTATAAATAGTCTTTTCATGTTAAAGTGATGGACAGTGAGATAATCATGGATATCATATTGACTTTGGTTTATTAATTGTGTGCGGTTGTTAGTGGCTTTACACTAGCCATGAAGTAATCAATAATTAAGAATATAATTCAAAGGTAATGAAAAATAAATCCTAGTTTAGTCGCATATATAGTGATCTTGAATTAATAATTTTATTTTATTAATTAACATGAAACTTTTCAATAAATTATCATATTTAATAATTTGATGATCAAAATTTTATAAATCGATAATATAAGGGGTTAAAAAATTGTAAATGAATAAAACTTTATTTATTTTTTAACTTAGCGAGCAAAAAGGAATATTTATGGAACGAAAATGTCCATTTCAATAATTTACCCTTAATTTTATAAGATCTTGCAAGTAAATATAATGAATCCCGTCCAGCTCAGTTGGTAGAACGCCATGCTCTTAAACTTGTGGTCGTGGGATTGAGTCTCACGGTGGGCAATTCATAATTCTGACTGCCGGAGGTCTTCCACAGAAGCTACTCTCAATCTGGCGTTAGGGTTAGCATACTATCTTACATCCCCTCACCCCATTACATATGAGAATAGAGCCAGCTAATTTATTAATTTAAATTTGTTTAATCATGGATTCAATTGTTTATTGATTTGATTATTTGATGTAGACATGTTAGTAGTGATTCTATTTAAATATATATATATTTAAAAATTATTGTTTGAGATATAATAATAAACTTTTAATCTTACAAATATCTTTCAAAGTTAACGTATATTATAAAATGTTAATATATCAAATAATTATATTATAAATTTATAATATGTATAAAAAATAAGTATATATTTAATTATTTTCAAATTTCTCTAGCCCATTTATTCTTTTGCTCCGTTAGAGTTTTTCTCTGTCTCAAATAAAAGAATTTTTATGATAAAGAATTTTTTAAATATCCATCAATTGGGCTTAATAGTAAAAGAGAATATTGATATTTATAAAAACTTTGAAATTAAGCAGCAACAACTATAAAATGTGTGTACATTATTAATAGATTAAAAAGTTCTAAATAAATATTACCTTGTAATTATTCAGATTATTAAAAATAAATCTTTTAATTATTTATTTAGGAGAATTATGTTACGATATTTGATTCAAACAATTATCATCCTATTATTTCCTTTTGTACTGTTTCATATATTTAATTTTCTTCTTTTCTCCTTTTCTCTTATCTATATCTCTAATTATATTTTTGCATCCAAGTTATGTTGTTTAATTTTGTTTAAGTCTTTTTTTTCGACGAGTAATAAATGATAGATGAATTCATCTAATGATTTTAATGGTTAAAACGAGTATTATTTTCGTTAAAGGTCTTTAGTTTAAGCAGTTGTGTCAGTAGAGTGTGCATGTTTTGTCAATGGCTATGAAATAATATGAACATATGTACCTTGTAATCATCCCAAACTATATAAAAAAAAGTCTCTCTGTTCTTATAGTACCTTTCACAATATTTTAATATTATTAAATTTATCGTCGTCTTTTCGAGTGGTTACTTGGATATCATATCGATCTACTCATATTTTAAAATATCAGATCGATTCTCTCGTATTAATAAATATTCACAATCACTCCAAATATATTACGCTTTAGTTGTAATAAAGTCTGCATCATCATTGTTATTGTTATATTATTGTATTAGTATAGATAATGCCTATCTTTCACCACCTATTTATTTGTACTTTTTTAATATTTTTTAATCGTCTTCTTATTATCTAGTGAATAATTAATATTAGTGAATGATTTTAATAAAATGACCTCAATGTGATTAGTTTATTTCAGATTTTGTAGATTTTTTGTTCGAGATTGTATTTTCATTTATTTAATAAAATTAAGTGTTATTATAAGTTAAGAATTAAATATATTTTCTAAGGGAATTTATTGTTGGTGTGAGACAATGGAAGCTAAAAGCAAGTCAACGCTAAAACATGACAATCATTCGTTGTGCGGTAGAAAATATGATTTCAGGATATGCAATCATTCTATCTGTCACTCTCTCTCTCTCTATTAACCGCAAATTGCAAAAGCACATTTCTTTTTCTCCTTGATCCGTACCTCATAGTTTCGAGTTTGAATCCATTTGTTGTAGACCAGTCCGATGTGATGAATTTCAAGCTCGGGTTATATTAGTTTAAGTTGCTATTTTTTTTTACGATTTCAAATTCGAATATAATTGAATGAAACATATTATCGAATTCGAGTTATAATCAACGACTCTAATCAAAATATTTGATAATATTTATAAAATAAAAATGGAAGATCTCCATAGCATCACATAAAGAAAGATGGGGACGGAAGGCATGGATGAAGCCAGCAACATGAAGGTGGTATTGAAACACTACGGTGACGTTTGGTTCGCTGGAATGTTTATGAGGGAATTGGAATATGCAAAGGAATTGAAATCAAATTCCATATCTTGTTTGGTTCGCAGACATGTCAGATGAATTTAATTTCAGTAATGTAAAATGACAGAATTCATTCTTATTATTTTTTTAGTTTGTTTTACAACTTATATATATATTATATAAAAAAATTAAAACATATTAAATCTTCACTTTATTGATTGATTATTCATTTCAATAAATTAAAAAATCATGCTAATAACATCATAAGTTAAAATTATCGCAATCAAAATATGCTAATAAGTTACCAAAAGATAGAGTAATATTTCGATACATTCCAATCGGAGTATGTTAATTAGTTACCAAAAAATATACCAAAAACTATTTTTATTTAATATATGAATTAGAAACCCGACCTGACACGACACAAAATATTAAAAAAATTATTTTTATTCAATAAAAACATTGACTTAATTGAAAAAATATATATATAGAGGGGTATTATTGTAATTATTCCTAAATATATAAGATAAAATTATATATATTTTCGGGTCGATCCGGTTTTTTTCACCCTAAACTCGAACCCAACCCGAATATCACACTTAAAAAACCCGACCC